TATATATATATATATAATATAAAACCTATTTGGATTTGGCTCTTTTATTTGAGAGAGAACGGTGATTAACTGAATAAGCCACGTTTCTGCAATCATTTTTGATACATCGGTATCGTCTAACATTTCTCATCCAGGTGACTGATGCAGCATTTAAATACTGGTAAAGGTCACAGACTGCGTGATCGCTGGTTGATCTGATCAGGCGAAATGATAGATTCTAATTTTGTGCATATCTTGCAGGATGGTGACACATCTGCACCAGCCGTCTTTGTTCCGACTGTGACTGCAATCTCAACATCGCCAGAACTGAAGTCGACTGTGAAGCCGACTTCCATCACATCTGGCAGCTGTGCAAAAAAGAAAACCAATGGCGCAAGGCAGCCGTCTTCTCCAACAGGTGCAAAGAGAGCAAAGACGTGCAACAAGAAGGCGCAAAAGGAGCAGGTCAGTACTTATTCTGCAAAAATCAGTCCAACAGTGCAAGAAAAAAAAATCTGTGCAAACAGTGCAAATAAGTAATCGCTCAAAGCCTTAGTTAATGCAGGATACATTCATTGGTTTCTCCCGCATTTTTAAAGCTTCACCAACAGCATGATCCCCCTCAGTAAATGTTAATGGAATCATCACAATGCACTAACAGCGGCAGTAAATCGGACACTATTGTTGCAGATAAGCTTTAAGTGCAAATTAGAAGCTACGTGTGTTAATTGTGTTTAACGGTTTTCTGGGAGTAAATGAGCATCGCTCTAATGGGGAAAGGAAATTGCATGAAGTGCGCGTCCACGCGTGCATTTTTGCGCGTTCCAGTTGGTGCAGCATTTCGAGAGGATCTGTATTCCAGCGTTCACAGCAAAGATAATTTTCTCATCTACATGACGAAAGACAACGTGTATTGAAGGCATGCTGTAAAATAAGCCTCGATGCTCTTTAATCATACATGTTCTCCTGCTGATTTTAGTCATCTAAAGAAGAAGAGGAGAGAAGGAGGATCAGGAGGGAGAGGAACAAGATTGCTGCAGCAAAGTGTCGCAACAGACGGAGGGAGCTGATAGACAGTCTCCAAGCAGTAAGTGAACTGCTTTTTCGACTCAATGCAGAGGATATTCACATAAGCTCTATAGGAAGAAAGGAAAGACTCCATAGCCTATCAATTATTTTAGGAGTACCATTCATACCAAGTAAAAGAGACACAAAATTCTTTTTATATGATAAAAAAAACCACTACCAACAATAGTAGCAGGGGAAACAATAGCTGAGCTTGGAAAATTTGTGTTTTTGATGATATGTTATGTGATTCTAAATGCAAGTGAGTTAAATACAAGTAAGCTAATTCAAGACTCTGGTCATGGTAGGACACAATGTGAAGGTGTGCAGCATGAATGTGCTATGTGCAAAAACGTATTTGTCATGGTGGCCTTTAAGGATCTCACCCACATGCAGAGAAACACTCACAGAACCAAGGATAAAAGTTAACTGGTTTATTTGAAGGTTTACAAAAACTGAGAGTGGGATTATACTGCGAGGAAAACTCAGTTGGACCTCAGCGGACTGGTGAACCGAAACCAGAAACTGTTAGCGGGGTTCTTAGTTTTCCCTTGGATCCAGTTTGTGGGGTTTAATCCAGAGATGAAAGAACTCATTGGAGGCAGACTGGCGTTGGATCCAGAGGAGTAATGGAGCGGACTGTCACCGGGTTTTCCTGAAGTTGACTGGAACGGATCTGGTGGAGGTTTCCCCTTTCTCTGGCGTTGAGGTAGGGACAGCCCGCTGCTCAAATACTCCTCTGGTGATGACCCAAGGAGCCGCAGGTGTGAGAGGAGGCCCAAAACGAGGAGAGGGCACCATCTAGTGGTAAAAAGTGAGCACTAAAGGAAACACAAAACAACCCACACAAACTGGAATCCTAACGATATTCTTTATTGTTTTAACTTGAACAAAATAGACTTAAGAGCTTTGCACTTTTAACTGGCAAAGTGTCAATATTTTTTTCAAAAGAAAATAAAACCCCATCAAGCTAAGGTAGAGTCTAATTGTAAAATGTTTATTAAAATTTCCCTGTGTGAGGTTTTCATTTCTTTTCCCCAATGCCTTTTATTTCATTTTATTTGAAACATAAGTTAATTTTAACTTTAAACGTTGCGGTCAAAAATTAATACTGCTTCTGAGTTTTCTAATTATGGACACTTTGTTTGTGTGACCTAACAAAGAAATTACAAACGTATCAAATTAGCATTTTATTCCCTATATTTAAAAGTGCTTAAACCAGTTTATAAAAAAAGAGATGTTTTCTAAGATTTATAATCTTAGGTCACACCTAAAAAGGAAATAAAATCAGAAAGTCAAAATTAAATACAGAACAACAAGAATAACTAAGCATCATAAGGAGATGCCATTGAGGGCTGCTGATGAAACCCAATTGGTCTGACGAGACAGAATATACATTGAAATAAAACAACTGGTGGACTTATAACTATATCTATGGATCAGCAACACAACAAGAAAAACATTGATATATATTCCTTAAGAAGACTGATTCACATTAGTTAAACATAGCTTTAAAACAAATGCTATAAACAAGTAAATATAAATTCAAACAAAATTTTAGTGCTAGAGCACCTAGAAGCCAAGCTGAAAAGATGAAACTAAAAGTTTAAATAAAGCTTGTAATAGGAAAAGTTTGTCTTTCTCCAAGTTTTAATTCTTACTTATATTATCAGAAGACCTGAGAGACCTGGTAGAGTTACTGTAGTGTTTTTATTGTGGTCTGTTTGAAGTCCCATTTATTTTTTGTCTCTTCTCAGGAGACTGATTTGCTGGAAGAGGAAAAGTCTACCATTCAAACTGAGATAGCTGACCTGCTGAAGGAGAAAGAGAGGCTGGAGCACATCTTAGCTGCTCACCAATCCTCCTGCAAACTGCCAGCCCAAGATGACTGTGACAAAGGGCAGGAGGAGGAGGATGTTGAGTCAGTGCTGCAGGGTCCTCCTGCCTCCTCACAGCTGCTCTCCATCCTGGAGAATGTAAAACCTCCAGAGAGCAATCCAGCTGCTGGAGAAGTCCTCACTATTCAGGATGCAGACAGTCTTTCTTGTGTCCCGCCTGCTGCAGCAATCTTGGGGAACTCTAACATCCTCCTGTGCTCCAGTGCGGAGGAGGAAGCCCTGGAGGACCTCAAGGGAGACGACCTGGATGATTTGGTGCCCAGTCTAGAGATGGCAGCGTCTGTCCCAGACATAGACCTGAGTGGGCCCTTCTGCCTCCCAGACTGGGAAACTCTCTACAAATCTGTGGCAAACGACCTTGAGTCTTTGACCACGCCAGTGATGTCTTCCAGTCCCACCTGTAGCAGCTACCTCACAGTGTTTTCCTTTAGTTGTTCTGAGATTGAATCCATGGCTGATGGCTGTGAGGGCATCAAAAGCAGCCTCGGAGGGTCAGAGTTGATTAAAGATAGTCTTAACTCCCCAACACTCTTAGCCTTGTGAATGCAAATCATTTATGCAACAATATTCAGTATTTGTATTCTAACCAGCTAGCAAGCTATCTCTCTCAAATAACTTTTGTAGTGTGATCTATGATGTATAAGCCTGAAAATTAAAGGTTGTGCATACAGAGTGTGTTTTCGGTGACTGTAACAGGGTTCAGTTGTTCCATTTTGTTTCGACTGTCTGAGTTTACATTTGTGCTGGAATCCAAATGCATGCAAAAATCAGAGAAACCATCTGTATTCCAATGCAAACGGTGGTAAATTGTGTTTCTAAAGAAATCTACCTGTGATATGCAGTTAATTCACGTTTGATATAGCCTAATATATGTGAATCAGTGCTATTGTGAAAATTGAAAATAAGAGTTACAAAAATGTAGCAGCGTATTAGTGTAACATCTTGCTGTGAGGTGTCCCCGACCTGCCTTGATATTCATCACCAGAGGTTTTCTCCATAAGCAAAAAAACAAAACATAATCATGTGGATTTTCTCAAGATGTACTGTATTTTATGGCATAGTTTATTTTTTTACTCATCAAATATGATGCTGATGCAAAATTTACGAATATTGGTGAAAATAAAACATATTGTTCTCAATTAATCTTTCACTCTTTTATGTATTCATAATTGTTTTATTTTCAAATTTTTTTTACATTTTAAATCCAAGATAGCTACCGTGCCAGGAAATTTTCTCCCCTTAATGTTTTCTTCTGTGCTTGCATTTATTACATTTAAATGTTTCAGTTAATCAATGAAATTTAATCTGAAATACATTCAAAATGTACTTTTGATGGGACAATTTAACTGATTAAAATGAAAGTGCTTTAGAAACCAATATGGGCATTTGTGAAAAACGTGTTGTTACAACCAATATAATGCTTTTTTAGTTTCAAATATTTAAGATGTTTTTTATACTATCATGATTCTTTATTCCTAAACCAAAGTTCTAAAACCCAAATACATGTATTATTATTAAGATTATTAAAATTATCTCAATTACTTTTATAGAAATACATTTTCTTTAAAAATAATACTTTTAAAAATTAATACATACAATTTGAGCTCTTTAGTTTATTTAATCATGTTTGCATGTGTTCTAATACGTACAGTAAGATAAAAAAACTAGTTTTTTTTTCTATCATAGACTTCTTAACAAATAAATTCTAATAAATAAATAAATAAATAAATGTGCCAATAAAAGTAAATAAAAAGTATTAGTTTGACGTTAGAATAGTTTAAAATGCATTTTGCAACATATAAATTAATTTGAGAAGTAGAATTTTGATCTACTAACATACTCTTAAAAAAAAAAGAAAAAAAATGGTGTTAAACGTCAAGAACGCTGATATTTTCGGCCAAGCGTCGCTTCATAAAGACGTCACCGTACTATTTTTGGCCTCGGAGTTACATAAATCCAGCAGGACTGTGTTTAATCCGAGTGGGAGCCGCAGAAACTGCAGTTTAATTATTTATTCATGCTTCACTCTCTGCCCCACTAAAGTCACGGCTGACTTCCCTTCATTCAACGCAGCACGGTGCGTGCCGTGCCGCTGGTGCGTGACGTCAGCGCGCAAGTTGCCGTATTCTTTGACTTCCTTTGACCTTATTTGGTCGACTGCAGTTGTTTTGCTTCCATGGCAACAGGTTTCATATTTCAGGGCTGGATCTGGTGAAAAGCAGCCCAAACATAAACCCTAGTTTTCCCATCAATTATACAAAGCCTCCCTAATGTGAATTACCGGAATTAATACAACATTTGACAGATTCTCGGAAAAGGAAACTTACGGGCAATAATTAACTGCTGCTAAATTCTTCCTTTCCACTTGTTGTTTGACCATGTTTTCACATAAAAGCTTTCTGAACACGCTTACCGAGGGTTGCATATCTAGTAAATTAAGCTTCATACAGTATATGCTGTAATTACCCCGTATCACAGGGAATTTAATGCAGTTTTCTTGGATTGATACAGACTGCACATCGTTTAAATCAACGTTAGGGCACTCGGTGAAATACTTTGAAAATACTAATTTCAAGCCAATAGTGTAGTTTGAATCCAGACCTTATAACCTTTGCAACATAAAAAATTGATATTTTGCTCGCAAAAATGAATGTCAGTGTAATAACAAGAGACGCCAACTTATCTGAATATATTAAGAAAAATAACAAAAGTGCTTATATAAGAAATTCATGAAAAACACTCTGAGAGTGAAAGACACAATTTTTTATTTTTTTTTTTATGGTACAACATAACCTTAGAGGCATTAATCACACTGGCACTTACTTTTTTAGTTTATAAACCTAATTAACCAGGCTTTTTAATTTTTAACTTTACTTTTTAACTTTTTAATTAACCTTTTACCCTTTTTTCTTGACTTAACTTTTTTTCAACTTACTTTACAGTAGCTAATATATCATTCAAGGGCTCATCTAATAAGAAATAAGATGTACCGCCATGTAGCAGCATCGAAACTGAATGGCTGGAATATAGATCTTGTGCTTCTAGACCTCACTGAGGGAAGGGGAGGGGGGGACTCCATTTGTAAGGGTATGCAAGTGATCAAAAACGTCAATCATTAGACAGTCACAGTTACACCGATCTCCAGCAGGTGTCACTAAAAACAAACTTTGACAGATTGTCAGAGCTGCTGAAAATTCCTATTTGTGCACACAGAGCACTTAGTATATTTTAAGAATAAAACAACCTTGTCTTAGTAGTACAAGCACCAGAATCTGTTCCTCATTTCTATTATAGGAAATCCATTAAATCATATATTATATATTAAATAAATCTATATTACAGAGTTTAAACACTGTGGGCTGACATTTATTTAATTTATCTATTTGATTTAAGTAGAGGTTATTAGCCTCTACATGGTTACAAGTCAACTAGTGTAATGTAGTTTATTTGCCGGTCTGTTATATTTATTGATCCAAATTCATTTTAAAATGTATTCAACCCAAGTAGTGTCTAAATCCAGGAGCCATTGGGCAAGAGGAAGAGTACACTCTGGACAGGTTGCAACATCGATAAACAGACACCCACACATCTACAGGCAATTAACCTAACATGGGTTGACAGTGGCATCCACAGCAATAACTTTCTTTAGGATGTATTGAGCAGAATTTACATTTGTGCTTTAACTGAAAGACTTACATTGCATTAGCTTGTTTGAAATAGATGGCAAATTAATCTAAAATAAATGTCCCAATTGAAAAGATTCAATCGTTTCAGTCCAAAGGGGATACAAACAGGAGAATGAAATAAATTATAGGCACAATAATAACCTAAGGAACTTAACAAAAAAGAGTGAACTTGTATGGCAGCACCATAATTAAAAATATAACAAATAATTGTGGCAAAATGTTGAGAACATAATAAATCGCAAGCAAATAACAAAAAGACTAAAACAGTCGAAAATGTTAACCCAAACACTTGATTTTGACCGCGTCATTTTGACAATCAAAGGCTCGAAAAAGTATTCATAGCCTTTAAGCTTTTCTCGTTTGGATGTGACAACCACAGTTTAATTATGATAGAGCAACAAAAAGTAGCACATAATAGAATGACGTGTTACTTTATTGCGCATAAATTGGAATGAAAAAATCAACATCTTTTATTTAAATATTTTAACAAATAATTATGTGGAAAATGGGGCATGCAATAGTTTTCAGACCCATTATTTAATACTAAGAAGCATATTCTAATGGTTGTTGCAACCTAAGGCATTTTTATTGCACTAAGATGCTGTGAACCAAGAAACCCCTACCTCAAAACTGACACCTGCTCCAATGAAATTAAAGAGAAGCACTATGCGGTTAACGTTTTATTGTCAGAGGTGAGATAAATTGAACTAACTGGCCATAAAAATAAAGGAACATATTTGGAGAAATCAGAACAAGCATTTTAAATCATTGCTTTAACTGTCAAGCATGGATTTCGTTGCATTATGCTAAGAGTACGTGTTGCTACCACTGACACTGGTGCTTTGCAAAAACTAACCACTACTCGTCAAATTGACTGCACTTATAGGTCTTCTGTTAACCCAACCAGCTTAACAGGGTTTAAGTCTGGATACCTTGCTTTATTATCAAGCTAACTATATACTCTTTTCCTGATGCAGTTCTAGCATAGCTTGCACTTACAATCTGTGCCATCATCTTTCAGTAGGATGAGGCATGTACCAGAAGGTAATGCATGACACCACAGAATGTTGTGGTAATCATTTTGGTTAAGGACGCCTCTCGCCTTGTGCAAGTCACCAACCCTGGATACATCAAAACAGCCATCAAAATTACTCCTTCATGTTTAACAGTTTGACAGTTGATGTCACACATTGTGGAACCATCATTAGCCTACTTGACTGCATACAAAGATCCTCTATAATCAAACAAATTCAAGAAGAGCTATATGTGTATATATTTTATCTTTTTTATTTTTATCTTTATTATCTTGTGTAGTTGGATGTG